GGGGGGCGGGCTGTCTTTTCCATGGGAGAACAGGATTTGGGGGCTCCTGGTGGGGGGAGTTGTGCTGCTACCCGCCCCAGCCACTCCTTGAGCAGGCCCGGCTGAGGGCTCAGTAATAACCACAGCCCCTGCCTGGGGGGGTACCGAGCGCCGAAGGAGGGGGCTCAGGCCGAGCTGTCCCAGCGCCTTTCAGCACCAGCACCTTTTAAACCTTCTCTGGAAGCTCCTCACCGCTCATCCCGGGACGGGATGCGTGGCGCTGAGCTTCGAGATGCAGATCTTTCCTGGCGCTGCTTCACAGCTGGTTTAAAGTCTGGAACGTGCCTGAAATGGGGCTCTTTTGGTGGGTTTTTTTTTTTTTAATCGCCGCTTTTTGCCTTGCACCTGGAAACTACTTGCACAGGATCTCGGGCTGTCGGGATCCCTCAGTGGCGGATACAATTCCCACGCTTCATCAGATGTAACAGCAACAGTTAGGGCTCGGAGAATGTGTCGAATGACCACTGGTCATTCCCACTTTTCCTTAGCCATCAGGATCACACTAAACATCCTCTGTTCCCTGCAAGGACAAAGAAGGGACCATGACAGGGTTTGACACTTCAGGCTGCTGGTGATTCCTGAATTGCAAGTCTCCTGCAGTTGTAATTATCCTTAAATGCACCCAAAAAGCAACGATTTGGATGGGTTTTTTTAAGCCAATGCTTTTTTTTTCATATCGCTGTTGAAGGACAACTCGGTGTTGTCTTGGAGAAGTCTGCAGTCTCCAGGTTTTCAGAGCCTCGTTGTCCCACACTCGGCACAAAAATATAATCAAAGGTCCAGCACCACCAATTGAAAGCTTTTTAATTGCAGCCAGCATAATCAGTGTGGCTAATTAGAAACAAGCCCTGGATGCGAATGAGCGATGCCCAGATCTTGCCGATCGCTGGGTTCGAATGCTCTTGACCTGCCTCCGGTGCCACAGGTGTGCCAGATCCTCTCCCCTGTGCCAAAGCTCCGTCGCAGGATGATGCTCAAGTCCTACAACCTCCGCCCTTGTCAATTTGCTCGTTCAGGGGCTGATTTTTTTTTGTTATTTGGGAGATGGGATTTTTTATTAAAGCCTCTTGTGATCTTGTTTACATTCATGATTCTGGTGCCTTGTGGGACACGTGCAGTAGGCTCAGCCTCTCTGGGACAGCTCCGAAGTTATTTAGAGCCCTTTTCTGCAGCAGTTTTTATTTCCTTTTTAATTAACATCGATGAGCTCTTTGCCAGAGCCCATCCAGGAGCAAATCCATCCAGAGATCGACACTTCAGCAGCTGGAAAAACATTAGCTCCATGCGCTGCCAGGTCCTGCGTGTAGTTGTTCTGCCCAAATTGCCTGGCTGCCTACCCCACGTCCTTGCCCAGTGTTGGGTGAGTGGAGAAGCCTTGAGGGCAGTTGGAGTCCCCAAAATCCTCCTGCTCATCTGGGATCATCCCGGGATGCCTGTGGCAAGGGGGGGAGTTTCCCTTTGGGACGAGAAGGCAGATTTATGATAGTGAAGAAGAGAAATTACTTCCCGCCTGCCCACCGTGCTTCCCTTTGGAAACCCCCTCATCCCTGTGGCAGAGGGAGCTTTAAAGGTGCGATTGGAGGTTTTAAAGCTAGGCTGGAAGTTTGGGAGTTAGGTAGGCCCTGGGATTGATCCAGAAAGTTTGGAGGAAAGTGGGAGCTCTGTCAATACAGCACCATGTCTGGGGAGTTAGTCTTGGGCTGCTCTGGCTCTTGCCTTGCTTCAGATGCAGCCAGAAAACCCCAAACTCTTGCACCTGGCTGTAAATTGATGGGCTTGAGTTTTATTTTACCCTGATTAAAGCCAGGGAACAGTGGGGGCAGCAAGCCCAAGGTGACTCTGGGGAGACTCGAGGTGGGGACAGTCCCCCTCAGCCACCACCAGGAAGTAGCACGTCCCGTTGTCCCCTTGTCCCACTGCCTCCCATCGCCTCCATCGCCTGGCACAGTGGGATTTGGGAGCCCAGGGAGTTAATCTTGTCAGGTGACTCTGATTAATTTTTTTCTAGCTGTTTGTTTTCCAAGGGACTGTCGCGGTAGAGACAGACACGACAACGTTTTTGCAGGAGAATAGCCATCCTTATTGCTCGCCCCATATCTTATATACTTCATCCTTTCATCCAGGCACCATGCTCGTTGGTTACGTGGCTGTTTGTCTATTACTTTATTGGCTACTTCTCTTTAAATCCCCCACTGTTGGGGTATCTGACAAACATGGTATTTTTCTTCTTTCTCCTATCTCCAGTCCCTTTCTCAGGCTGACCCAGCACTCCTCCGGGACTTTTCCAGCTGCTCAGCGGTACACAAGCTGGTCAAGGTCAAACTGTTCTCTCTCTGTCAGGAATTCAGCAGGCCCACTGCCTCCCCCAACAATTCCCCCTCTTTGTATTTGTGCTAAGAATATTGCATTGGCAGTCTTCTGCAGGGCCCTTTGCAAGAGACTGGTGAGACATGGGAACATTAAAAGCACAGTTGTTATGGTCAGGAAAACTACTCCTACGGTTTTGACCAGAGGTGTCAACCATCCAGACAGCCCCCAACCTTTAAACATCCTTGTCAGCCAATCTAAGCCATCATCTTCTGTTAAACGTTTAACACCATCTTTTAACTGTTGTGTGCTCGTATGGATCGATTCAGAATGATCCGCAGTTGCTGGGGAATCCTGGTTGCAGCGAGGATTTAGAGTACCTTTCTTTATAAGTTGGAAATCCTATGCGATGCGTCCATCCGTAGGTGAGGCATCCCACATCGCTGCAAGCAGGTCCGGCCTCTGAATCAACAGGCCAAAATAACTGGCGCTTTTCTTTGAGCGGGAACATCTGATTCCATCCTCCTGTTGGGTTCCACCCCGAGCCTGGCCAGGACTCCAGGGGGGAAACCAAGGGAGTTTCTAAAAAGGTTAAACACTTTCTTGATCTATCTATTCTTGATATTGCTAAACAAAGTAAGTTGAATACACGCATTCTTATAGCATTTCATCCTTATTAATAACTACCATTAGGAGTTGCAGTTGCTGTCAGCATTTTCCTCTTAAATGAGTTGGCAACCGTGGTGTAATTAAGGACAGAGATAGTGTATTTTGTCCTGTTGCAGTAGCAAGCGTTACCGGTACATTCTGTTTAAATGATCAGTTAAAAAAGATTGCAAACTGTCGGCACAGGGCCACCCACAGCACCCACAGCTGGCTCCTGAGGGTCCAACAAAAGCTGCCTCTTATGCCTCGGGTATAGTCGCGCACACCCTGCCGGTAACCATTGGGGACCGTGACCTGTGGAGACAGCAGCATCACCTCTTCCCCAGATTAATAACTCACATGGTCCACTCCGCTGGCCAGTAACTAAATCTTTAACGTGTACTTTGATGGCCTTTTGCAAATTCTGTTTTGAAAAAAAGAGAAGAAAATAGTTGAAAAAAGAGGCAGCAAAGAAGAATTATCCCCATAATGGAGAAAGTTAAAGAGTATAAACTGCTTTATCTAAACATGTCTGTGGTGGTTCCCCAACCACTGCCCCTGTTTTGGTTTTGAAGCTGCTGCTTCAGCGTACCATGTGCACGCTCAGCAATCGCTTGTCCTGTGGGGGAATGAGGAATACCTGTAACATGAGTAATACCCCACAGATTCAAAAAATGGTTGAACTTCCTTTGAAACACATGCTGGGCCATCGCCCGTTTTAATTTGGTGTGGTACCCCAAGCATAGTAAAAGCCTTCTGCAAATGTCAAATCACATCTTTTCTTGCTTTTCCATCATGTGCTGTTGTTACCAAAGCATAAGTATCGATAGAAACATGTACGTATTTTTCTGTCGACCAAACTTTATATGAGTGACATCAGCTTGCCAAATCTGTAAGGCCTGCACCCCTCTGGGATTAGTATGAAAATACACTGGAGTGTGAGTTCCTTGATAATCAGGGTAAGCAGCTACAATAGAGTGAGTTTCAGTATGGGACAAGCTAAACTGGTGTCAGAAAGCTCGATAACTTTGAGGAAAAAATTGATGGGATAATACAGCTTGTTGCTTCATGTTAGGAACGGTGCTTCTTGTTAGAAACAGGAGCATCTGCTCTGGCATTAACTTCTGTATAAAACCCCGGTAAGGTAGTATGACTAGGAATGTGAGTGATAAAATAAGGTTTAGTTCATAGCTGAATACTCTTCTAGAGTTCTGAAAGCACATTGATTGTCTGACATAATCAGAAGTACTTTGTCTAGTCAAGAAACTAAGTTAGCTACGTATGCTGAGTCAGTTACAATATTTACAGGAGTAGAAAAGAATGGAAGAAACCAACAGGCATTGCACGCAGCTCTACTACTTGTGGAGAACTTTTTTGATGCACTACTTTGTTGTTCCAGTTGTTGTTTTCGTACCGTGCTACTGCTGCTTTACCTGTTTTTTCCTGAGCCATCTGTAAAGACAGTGGGGCCTGTCACAGGTTCTGGCTGGCTTAAATTTTTCTGACCAAATGCTATTTCTTGAGCAAACTTAGTAGCGGGTGCGATGGGAGATGATACGATATCTGTCCTGGAAAACCCACCATCAGCTTCTGTGCATCATTAGTGTTTTAACCTCAAGGTTGAGTTTCACAGGTTGGGGCACAACCCGCTTGCTTGTAACTGTCATTCCCAAATATTTCCAGGATTCTACCTTTTGTACCTTTTCAGGGGCAATAACCAATCCATACTGTCGTAACGAATCTCTGGCCAAATTCTCCATGTCGTTCAACTGCTCCTTGCTGTTGGATGCTAACAGGATGTCATCCATGTAATGGTAACAATAACGAGTAGGAAATTTTTCCCGTACGGGTGACAAAGCTTGTGCTACAAACCATTGACAAATTGTTGGCGAATTTTTCATGCCTTGTGATAAAACCTTCCATTGATAACGTGCTTGAAGGTTCCACATGATTTAAAGAAGGCAGAGAAAATGCAAAAATATTTTTTTTTTCCCTGATTACAAACACCGGGGTATTCCATGGGCTAGGAGAAGGTTCAATATATCCAGCAGCCAGCTGTTCTACCACCAATTCCTGCAGGGCCTTTAATTTTTCAGTTGGCAGGGGCCACTGATCCACCCACACAGAGTTATTCATTAACCAGGTTAGTGCACGTGTGGGTTGTTTGACACCCTGCAACACAGTGACCCTCAAAAAATCCGTTGTAATTTTCGCTCCTCGCTGTGACAAGCAGTCCCTTCCCCACAGATTCGGG